ATTTAAAAAAAAAAAAGAAAAAAAAGAAAAAAAAGGCAAGAGTGCACTTGCAGCAGCCAAACCACAAATATTGAAAACTCAAGATAAGAGACCCCACCCCACAGCCTGTGTTATTAGCACTGGCCCGTTCTGACAGCAGTTTGGACAGCTCTAATGCGCTGGGTGGGCGACACCGTAGCCTTGTGTTAATGAGCTGTACTCAGCCCATTGTTTTTCAGTGTGGAACTACTTGGTTTTTTTGGTTAACACAGTCTTCCAATAGGCCACATGCTCATGTAAGCCACCGCATACCCCACCTCAGCTCGTGCGTTTGTTATTTTTCCATTCATGCTTGATACTCCTATACCCGCTTGTGGCTGGAGCCTGAACTTGTGCCTCCACTAAGATCCAGACCCACAGAGAGAAAATTATCTAGCCCACTTCCTTGTTGGATGACTTCTGGCTTCAAAGCAGATTCTATTAACCAGTTATCTTTACCATCACTACAGTAGGAAGAACAGAGATCCTTGCTACTTTGAGATTTAAAAAGGAATATTTGGTAAAGCTCCTGTTCTGAGTCCTACAGCACGCTAAAGCATTGTTATGAAGAACGTCAAGTTTTCAAATAGAATCACATGGATACAACAACGCGAGGGTTAAATTCTGCTCCACCAATCTCACCAAACAAACGAAAGAACAGAACTTGCTTATAAGTTTTTCAACATGTTTAGTAAATTCCACCAGGAGTCTCCACCAGTAAGACAGGCCATACCCTGTTGTGTTTAAAGCCAAGACCCTGTAGCTTTGTTTTCCACACAGGCTGTTTTCAGTGCCAGGACTGCCCAACCCTGCCCACAGGATGAAGATACAAAGGTCCACCCCTACGAAGACGCACGACCAGTGATAAGTTCTACAGGTCTGAGGTCAAATGCTCAGGTGCTGAGGCTCTGGGAAGTTTACCATGTCCTTCCAGTATCAACAGTGGTACAGATCCGTCTGCAGGCTGTACTAAATGGTCTCCCATATTGACTGACAAGAGCAACTTAAAGCCGACACTTTCTCCTTCACACCACCAAAACCCCCCCCAAAATGTTCATCCCTCTTTCCTAGCTGCACCCACACTCACATTTCATCAAGAATGGCTTTCACCAGATGATTGGGTGAGCGGGACAAAACCCTGCTGCATGGATATTTATTCCTGGCTGTTTGATATGATTTTGCTACCTATTGGCTTTTTCCTGGAGTCAAAAGTAGAGGCAGATATCGCTGACCAGGGTAAAAACTGTCCTCCCCCAAAGTCCCCTCCTTGATTTTATGTATTTTGAACTTTAAAAATGACCCAAACATCACAGAAGTGATAGAAGGCTCTTAGGTGGGGCCCTGCTGATCTCGTGTACCTGAATTCCTTACAATTCCACAAACGCAAGCATGTCAGAAAGTTTAAGTCTCTGCATACTTCCAGGTGCTTTCTGGCAACATCTAAGAATCTCTTACTCTTTAGTGTACTACACCATGCATATTCTATACCAGTTTTGCAGGTGCAGAAAATTAAATTCAGAGAGATGAATTGCTTTGATAAGCTTCGCTCCTGGGGGTTAGTGTTAGGTCAGGGAGTGGAAAACACATTTTCCATTCTGAGCGTTTCGCAGTGGTACTGTCCCTGACAGTTTCCTAACCCTAGTTAGAAGGGTCGTTCTAGGCAGCCATCAGAGAAAGTTGTGTGTGCATCTTCCTTAAAAGGTGAACAAAAAAGTAACCGCACAGAGAGGCTTTATGAGAGGCAAAAAGAAAATATACAGTTTAAGCCCGCTGAGGTAAGTTCTGCTGATGCTTCATTGACAGGATAGAGGCACTGCAGAAGCAGCTGGCACGGACACTGCATTAGGGGGATGCTGGTACAAAAGCTGCCAGTCAGAGGGTGTATATGGGTGTGTGGAACTGAAGGAGTTAATGCCTCCAACATTCATGAGCTGTTTGCTGCACTGATCTTCTAAGGTAAATATTTGCTCTACTACTTAAGTTTGACACTTTGTATAGACCATACAGGCCTTGCTAGCATTATGCCATTGAAGAAGAGCTACGGGACTGGGAAGAGGGGAACATCTGCCCCAGAAGGAGCCAGAGGTTGGAGGTTGGCCAAGAAGCATGAAGTCAGTGAAAACCAGTTACTGGGGGAAAGGTAAAGGTGGCACTGGAGATCACAACCACAACGCCAAAGGGTTAATGCACCCCACCCCTCCTCAACACACTTGCAGAACCCATGCTCCACCTTTCCTTGTCTCTCATGCTCATGAGCTCATGGAAACCCCACCTCTCCTTGTCTAGTATGCAAATCGGCTGAAGAAGAACTTAAAAAGATGACAGAAAACCTTGCTGGGTGTGCACCCACCACTCAAGATTACCGGACCTGAGATAACGCTGGAACCCAGGGTAGTGATACAGATTCTTTAACTCTCTCTCCCTTCCTTTCCTTTATTTTCTTTCTTAGAGATTTATCAATAAAAAGCCACGTCACTTACTATCCTTTGCTAAGTTTAAGTTTTTTCTACCTCAAGTAAAACATTTTAACCAGTTGTTTGGTGTCATTTCACCTTAATTTAACCCGAGGGGATCACGAAACCTTTACAACTCCCAGGGCTCCCAATCTGGGTGGTAACAGCAGGTGTTGCACTTCTAAGTACACAGTCTAATACCTGTCATTAAGCAGTTTCAGGAAGAACTCTTATTTTCAGGAATGGTAGCCATGATAGGCCTATTATAAAATTCAGCACTTAGTAATACTCATCATTCCCTCTCTAACTTTTTCCCCCTTCCCATAACATAACCTTCATACTGATAAGAATAGCAAAAAAATCACAATGTTACTGTCACAAAACAGAATGCATTATGTTTTAGGTAGCTTACAAGAAATTATATTTTCTTCATTAGAACGGCAGGGTTACTCATCACTACACACACATACAATATAGGGATTATGCACAATACTGCCAAGAGAAACTAGAAGCTAGAGGATACATGTAGTATTTGTTAATTGAAATAACAAATGAACAAAATATGCATCTAAAATTCTCACCCTGTCCAAGTTTACATCACAACTCCAAACTCAATTTTTTCTGACTAGTGTGAATGACATCTATGGCTTTCCTCATTTGACATGAAAATGGAGAGATGTTGTCAAAGACATGAGGAACTCATCCATGGAAAAGCTGTTTCATGTATAAGCCCACTGCTAGACAGCAAAGTGATGCCACATTAGAAAAGAAATAGTCATACATCTCTAGGAAAGAAGTGCAACATTTCTTCACTTCAAGCCGAAATACCTTTATCATTGTAAATTGACTTTGCAGTCTTGCTCAGACTTTATGATTTTCAGTAGATGATTAAGATGTGTTAGTGTCAATCAGAAGAAATCAAAGTAACAGTAAATATATTCCTGTGTGTGTACAACCTACTGAACTATAAGAGCTCCACAGCACAGCCAAACTGTCCCTTTTCGGAAAGTAAGCTGCTTTTTCTTGGTAAATCTTTTTAGATTATGTCATGTCTCTAAGTTTCCCTGATGTGGTCAATTATTATCTTACTTAATGCCTGCGTTTGGACTTAAACTGCCACAAACTGTTCCGTGATGTCAGTAATTATAGACTAGACTAGACTAGACTAGACTAGACTAGACTAGTCTAGAATTGAATTGAATTGAATTGAATTGAATTGAATTGAATTGAATTGAATTGAATTGAATTATTGGAAGGGACCTACCATAACCATCTAGTCCAATTGCCTGACCACTTCAGGGATGACCAAAATTCAACACACGCTATTAAGGGCATTATCCAAATGCCTCTTAAACACTGACAGGCCTGGGGCATTGACCACCTCTGTAGGAAGCCCGTTCCAATGTTTGACCACCCTCTCGGTAAAGAAATGCTTAGTCTTCATAATTTCATATTAAATAAAAAAAAAAAAAAAGGGAGACGAGATTATTGCCTGGGGTAGCATTTACTTAACAGCATTTGAAATATTTTATTTGACTATCGTTTGGGTTTGTTTTTAATTTCTCAAGTTTACATCTTTCAAAGACATTGTCAATAAGAAATGGTACCCAGGGGTGGTAGAAACAGCAAAAGACCCAAATCTCACGTGCTCCACTTAAAAAGGATGTGGCAAATCTTTGCAGTGAATTCTTTGATCTTAAAGAAAATTCATGAAAACACATTAAAAGGTACACACGGCCAACAACCCTACACATTTAACAGCAAGTTACTGCCTCTCCTTCTAAGCTGTATTTATCATTCTGTCCCAGGTAACATTGATGATCTCAAAAGTATTCAGCCCTATGTTGAAACATGCTGGTATGAGATAATTTCTTCATTGCAGGAGATGAAAACCCGAGTAGTATAGGAAAATTCAGGTATTCAAGTGAAAAGGGTTAATGCTTCAGACAGAATATTCCCTTTGGAATATTTAATAAAATCGAGATTACGTTACCTCCTGCCATCCTTAAAAGAAACTGAAGAATATCTTAACTCTGAAAGTAGTCCTATTTATTTAATCAGGTGAATTTTAAGATGTTTAGAAGAGTGCAAGGCTAATAAATATAAGCTGAGTTGGTACTTTTTAGTAGGGTTGTTATACAGAGCTGAGCACGGCATTTTGCAATTGCTTACAGTTATATCTTACTTCACAGTCACATACGACTACAAAAGACTCCTCAGTGTTTCTCTGTCCCAGATGAGAGTTTATTAGTATGAGCAAAAAGCATAGGAAGTTTAGGTCAAGGGTTACTACAACAGCTGGAGTCTAGTTTGTAGTTACGCAGTAAGGCGAGAAAGTCAGTGTGGGAAACAGTAAGTTGTCTTGTTTTGTCAGGTTATTTTAAAGACTTCATCACCATCATCATCATCCATCGGGATGATAGATTTTGAAAATCAGTTACACAAGAACAGAAACTAAATGAACAGCCTCCAGCTATCAACAGCAGCAGGGCTTCAATTCTGTTCAGAGAAAGAAACCTCATTTCTTACCTTGTACGTTCTGGAATTGATGAGGAGGTGCTCTCAGGCAGTTGCACAGCAGCAGGAAGAAGATCTGAGATGTCTTGCCCTCCAGATCTTTCTGTGCTGTTTTCCTGAGGGCTTCTTTTTAAACCGTGCCCATTACCAGGAGGTTCGCCTAATTCTGAATCTTGTGGAGCGCTCTAGAATGAAAAAAGAACAATTTAAATAGCTACTGCTATTTTGGAGAATACGTAAACTTAAGGAGTTTTGTTCTGCCTACTGATGGACAACTTCTGTGGTAGATTTCACTTCTTTGATGGAACTTGCAGGTTCCAAAGCCAAACCATTTTTTTTTCCTAACGACAGAAAAACAGAAGGAAGTGGTTGAGCCATAAATAAATACTAGGAAAAGAACAGGGAGAGAAGAATGCAACAATTGTTCTAAAGCAGCCAGGGCCTTTACTGACCCAAGGAGGGTATCATCTTCTCTTTTTCCAAGCCTGGCAAATGCTTCCTTGCTAAGCAAGTTTAAAATGAGAAAGGATGGAAACAGGCTATAAACATTGACATTCATAATATTATCAGTATCTCTGGAGTCAAGTTAGAGATAAAGCCAATGTCAGTCAAGACCCAGCACTTGAATCCAAGTCCAGATTCTTTCCCTCCCACTTCAACAAAGCTCCCAAATGCCTCTGGACTGAAAGGGAGGGACTGATTCTTCACCAAGCTGCCTTTCTATAATAATAGCTACAGGAAATCCTGCAGTTTCTGTAGTAAATGTCTACAGAAGTGCTGTTACACAAATGTGGTAATGCTGCATCACCTCTTCACGAAGGTAAATATTTACTCGGGATCTCCATCCATGACAACATGCCTTTACATGAGTGGGGATTTTGTTTTGTTTTGTTTCTATTGCAAACTACTGATTTTGCTCCAGGGAGGAAAAGAGTCCTGTGCAAGTGCCAGGCTGTGACCCGTGGTGTGCCAGCAAATCCCTGGGACTCTACAACACCTACAAGGCTGCTTACAACAGGTAGTGGCACTTTCCTACTGATTTTTTCACGGGGCAGAATTATCTTGAGAAGGCAAAGAAAAGCTGGTAAGAGCTGCTTGGAACAGTAGCTGAGAATGTTAAGTGTAACAAAAAAAAAAAAAAGGGAGAGAAACAAGTGTAAAGCAAAAATAACATCTGAATGAAGAAGCTCATTTTCAAATCCTCTGACACATCAAGCAATAGTGAAAGAGAAGGAAAACTGCTTCATCAGATCACCCTCAACATACAGCCACTGTTGTTTTAATTCTTAACTGTAATTGTAAAAAGCCTAAGGCAGACTTAGAGTAGACACATAAGCAGATGTACTGACAACCAGAGAACCACTTCAGAATAATGTCATAGATGAAAAGCACAGTACACAATTCCAGCTAATCTCTTGGGGTTTTTTTTCCTCTCAGTTTTTCGGTTTATTTTGTTCTAGAAGTAGTCAATAAATTGCAGAAAGCTGTTGTTTACAAAATTACACTTCTCTGAACATGGCGTGCTCTCAAGAAGCTAAGGCTTGTGATCAGAGCCAGGAATGAGAGACACCCAGTGGACAAGAAAAGCCTGTGTAATGAGCAATTGAAAAGGTCAGGGCAGACTGAAAATATAAAAAGACTTCCTTTAGACTTAAGGCAAATTTGATTAACTCTCATATCCTCTGCCTCTCCCTGGAGGAACCCCTTCACTACAGCTTTGTTTGCAGAAGTCTTCTTTATCACACCGCTTTCCGCTGGGATAGACCAAGGGCTCTTGGTTTCATGATTATTAAGCACTTACCCAGCATGTGCTGACATCTGGCATTTGGAATATTCATCTAAGTATGTATGTTGGCCCCAAAACCACAGTATATGGCAAAAAAATACTAGAACATCAAGATTTATAAAAGGAAATTTGTTTCTTCCAGCCAGAAAAAAAATATATATAAAAATAGAGTTTAGTTATCTTACAGGGCTCTGTTTTGCTTTTGGTGCTACGTTTTGGGCAGCCTTGCTTTCGTTTGCATGAGAAAGTTTGCATGGAGAATTTATTTCGGCATGCGTACATGCGTGCAGATAGAAAGAACGATGGAAAAAATTGCATGATTAAATTAATTATCAGGGAAAAAAAAGTCCAACCAACCACAAGAGTGACTTCTGCAGCCGTACGGGATCATGCTGGAGCACACCCACAGCCCAGCTGCCCCTCACAGACCACCACTCGCCCACCCCCCAGAGCCTGCCCCACTTGCCAGTTAGCGTTTAGAAAACACAGCAAGCCAAGGTGGGGGTAGTAATATCTTGGTGGAAGAGAAACTCCTTCAACTAGATGGGCCCAACCCCACGGAGGGTCAGTCTGCAGAGCATGCCCTGGTCTTGACCCACCAGGGAAGGCCAAGAGCAAGGCAGCGGGTTGTTAAACTCAGAACAAGCCATGTGAGGTGCCGCGGTGCCGTGCTCGGCCAGTGGATTATTGCGAGAGCTGCAGCTGGGTCAGTCTGGGAGATGGGCCTCACGGTAGCAGACAAATGGAGAATAATTTTGAAGCCACTTGCAGACAAAAATTACCTCCATTCCTTTCCCAGCAGGGCAGGGAGGGTAGGGAGAACCACACAAAGAACCCCAAGAAATTAGGCCAATTTACAAATTTGTCCAGGTGCCTCCAGCAGTTGGCAAGAGCAGTGAGAACTAATTCTTTATTTTTCTTCCTTTCTGCTACCACCACAGCAAATTTTCTTCAGCTGATTTGGGTGCTAGGCAGGAGGAATACCTCAGAGGTCTCTTCAGAAGATGAAGAGCTGCCTGTTTTGTCTCCTTCTTCTAAAGCCTCTGTCATCTTCCCTAGCAGAAAGGAACGCGGGAAAGAATTAAGTCATTAACCTACTGCACTCTTAGTACCCGCACATTGCTTCTAATTAATCTCTCTTTCACAAGATCAGCCCCTTAACTCAAAGGGCTCTTTTAGGTTACAGTCTACTGACTGTAGTTCTACTGACCTGCAGTCATCCCACTTGTGGAGCCACAGCGTAATAGGGATGCCTCCTGCACACAAATCTCTCAAGTAAAACCCCTTTCCGTGCAGAGAACCAGTCTCCTTCGGATTGCCACGCAGAGCCACGCATCCCACGAGCCACGTGATAACCCATAATTAATCAGCAATGTGGGCTCAGTTATGGCATTAGAAAGAAACTCTGTTCTCCAGCCTGTCAGATAATAAATCCGATCGCACATTCTAGGAACGCTCTACTAGCGCTAACAAATACAAGGAGACCTAACGCAGTGGTTACATCTGCTGGGTACTTGCAACCCAGCAGTACAATTATTTCAGGGCAGTTTGAAACTGTAACGTGGAGTCAGGCTAATTTGTCAGTGACTCCCTGTGTCTGACACTTCCCAGAACACTTCGGGGCCAGAATAATTTTGGTAGAAGTTTGCTGGGTTTTGCTTTTACTATTAATCCCCATACTTCACAAGTTAACTACGCAATATAGACATTTATGTGCCTGCTGTGCCTGTACACCTCATCTCATCCCAACTAGGATGTTTCCACATTAGACACAGAGAAGGGCCCATGTCCCAGTGATTTTATCAGCTGTTACACCAAGTCCTAACATCCAAACACCACCACACTGGGAGGGGCAGATGGAGATGGCAAGGAGAACCACCACAACAAAACAGGTTAGATATATGCACTATTTTGAAGACTACTTTTAACATTTTCCATAGGTTGTTGGGTGGGGGCGGGGGTGTTTCATGTGTTGGTTGAGTCTGACTTTTTTTGATTTTAACTAGTTTTGTGCTTTCAGGGATCTAATGTTTAAGAAGTTATAGCTCATCTCCCAGCTATCCCTAAGCAACTGTCACTGGCCACAGAAAAACCTGACTCTTTTTCTTCCAGTTACGGACATGCACAAATTTAAAATACATTAAACCAATCTTTGAAGCGTAGCTCCTGTTAGAGGCGAGAGGAGTTTCAATTGTTGATCTCTCTTTCTTTCCAGGCTGTCAGGTGTTTGAATGGTCAAAACCCAAAGTTGCCCTCTTACCTTGTAAGGCAAGAACACACATGGCCAGGAAAGTATATTTTCAAAAGAAGCCCAAAGAAAGACTTTAACAATAGTCTAAAATAAATAGTAATGTAGATATTTAAATTAAATAGTAATGCAGATATTTAAATTAAAAGGAACTACTAATATTCCAAGATATAGGAAAGCTTTATATATTGATCTTCTCCATTTAACATATTAATCATCACAGAAGAACATACTCTGTGAATCTATGCCAGCCAGCAGAAAAACAAAATTCAATTTCTCTATCAAGTTTTAAAAATTTAAGCTAGCTATGCAAATCAGGTGCTGAACCAGCTTTGCAGAGCACGCTTTTTTATTTTTAATTAACATCTGTGAAAACAATTAGAAAGACTATGTTTTGTTCAAAAGTATCACCAGAAAGCTGCTGTTAAATAAATTACTTTTGAGGTTTCAACACATACAGCCTCTGAAGTGATTTACTACAGAAGCTTTGCAGTTAAATTTGCTTTATACCCGTTTCAAATGGAGCATACTCCTTTTCGAAAAGGATTCTGAAAAAGTCACATAATTGAAAGACTTAAATAATTATATTAAAAATCAGAATACAGATGTTCTCAGCAATTTTTTCCTTTAAGTCTAGGTTAATTAAAAAACCCCAACAACAAACAAACCAAGTTTGTCACAGAGAGCATACAAACAACAGAAGGAAAACAAAACAGCTTATACTTTTTTTCCTTGAAGCCAGCATGTTATTTAAATGAATAAAACTGATTCTCCTGAATGTAATTTGCATTAAAACTTTCCACAAGCATTGAGCTCCACAAGCACACAAAGTAAATCTACAGAATTGCTTTGTTTTCCCGATGACTTTGAACAGGACCTTAAAAATTATTAAAAAAAAAAAAAAAAAAGAGAACTCCATTAAGACCGTAGCCAGAAGGATTATTTGCACTGCTGTACACTGGCTAAAGTTATCACACCAGAAAGAAATTCCTTTAATGCTACATGGGAGCCTGTTCATAGCTCAGCTCCCAAAGCCCTGACTCTCCCCTCCTGGTTCAAAGCCGCAGCAACGGCATCGGGCAGTGCCACAACCTTGTGCTACAGCCAGTCAAGAAGCCTCGTGTTTCTCCACAAGCCACCAGGCTCCTGAT